TTTCCTACTTACTGGCTCCTCTCTCCAATAAACCCCCTGAATCTTTAATAAATTATCAGCATGCTTTCTCGTCCATCTGCTGGCGCCAGACGTCAGCATTGGCCGCCTTCTTCATTTCCCTCATGGCCCCAGAGACCTCAGCGTTTGATTAATCTTTTAGGTCCCTCCCACAGAGAGCCCACTTATTGTCTGGGTTGACTCTCCTCTTGGAGTGCATCTTTAAGAATTTTTTTTCTCAGCCTTAAGTCCTTGTAAGTCCCTAGTGCCTGTCGCCGAGCAGGCTGTGGACCAGGCCTTAGTCAGCAGGTGATTCCCGTGTGGGTCTCACCTATGACTGTATGCCTTGTGCTGCTTGCGCTGTACTAGGGAGAATGTGGGATACTAGGAATCAGTACCAGCTAAGGAGTCATGGACCTGGCCCCCTCATCTCATAAGTGAACCAGGTTATGTCCTTTGGGGAGGGAGTACTGAGCCTTGGTTTAACTTTCCACGGAGGCTGCTATGAATATCAAACAGATGAAGGGTAAGTCCAGACCCTTTGGGCTACACCAGAGGCAGGAAAGCTTGGGGAGGGATACGGGCCTGAGAGCATGAAACACCATCTTGCCCTCTCTCCTCTGTGGGCCTAGGCATGACAGCAGAGCTCCTTGGCTTTCTGGTATGACCCCAGGCAAGGCCTGTGTCCCACTGCTGTGACCATAGGAGCTTCCAGGCCCAGGAGAATGCCACCTAGGTTCCAGCTGCTGCTTGCTGCTTTTCTGGTTTGGCTTGCCATCTTCAACCTCCCTTCCTTTTCTACCCTGTGAGCTTGCATCCCTAGTCAGTACATACTACACTTCACTGAGAGGCTGGCTCAGCTGTTTTCTGCTCCCATTTTCTTGGCACTTGCCAAATGCTTTGTGTGCATTAGCCACAGTCTTCCTGGCAAGCCTGTGAAGGAGGCTTGTCCTTCTGTGAGGAGAGCTTCGTCCGTATTTTGCGGGTGACGATTTTGAAGCTTAGAGGAGGTAAAGTGGCATGCTCTAGGGCTCACAACCAGCATTTGGCAAATCCAGATGCAAATCTAGGCATCAGACCCAGATTCACCTCACCAGCATGGATGCCACAGTCCTTGAGCTCTGTCCCTTCTCTTGCCTCTCTCATTGCCCCTTAGTCTCTGTCAGTGCCTATCGAGATGCCCACCAAAGACAGCTTTCCAACCCGAGAAAGATCCAGCTAGGCACAGCAGGCGTCACCTGTATAGCTGGACTGATGTTAGAAACAGTAAGCACGTGACTATTTATCTAGCACCTTTTGCTCCCTGCCCTAATAATCAGTGAGGGAGATGTGCAGGTTGGGGGGTTGCCGTCTCCATTGTGTGGGTGAAGAACCTAACACTGAGGAAATCCAAGTCACACGTGAGTCACCCTGTGGCATAGCTGGACTTCAGGGACGAGGAATGCTTACAGCGTTCGGTTCAAATGGCTTGTACGGACTGAAGGTAGGCTACGCCCACAGCTCCTGCTTCTGTGCCTAGGTCTTTGGTGGGAGAGTTTGGACTAACCCTGCTCCACAGGGAAGCAGAGCAGAGGTCGGCCATTTGCTCAAGGTCTCACGCTGGCAGGCGGTGTCCAGAGCCCCAGACCAGGAGTCTGTGGGCTGCTCTACTCTGTTTTCTATCCATCATCGCCTTACCCCTATGGGATCCAACATGTTTTCAATGGGGCGTTCTTCACACGTGAGTCAGTTAGCCTCTGCCTGTGTGCACAGGCTTCTGGGTCAGTCGGCATGTCTGAGGCAAGCAAAGTAGTGCCTGTGACTAAAAGCTCTAATCAGGTGGCAACTCCAAAGACCAGCATTCTCCCTCAGCTTTCCCCCAAATAGCTCAAATCATGAAAGCTGAGGCCTGACTCCAGAGGCTCTCCAAGCATCTTCCCCCATAGCGCAGCCACAGCAGCCAGATGTCCTGGCAGTGGTGGCATTCAGGGTCTCCTTTCTCTCCCTGTTTCTGAAGGAGAGCAGGAGTCTACCCTAAGATCTCTGATTTTTTTCCCTCCCTCTCCATAGGTAATTTGTCCAGCCCACTCCCTGGTCTCAGGCTTATTCTTCCTGGAGTACTTCTTGCTGCCCACCCCACTGCCTGGGCCTCTCTCCAAGACCCTCCATGTCCTCGATGATCCTGTAATCTACCAAGCAGGGACCCCAGTACCACCATTCCCTACCCCTTCGCCATTGCTCCTAACAAGAGTTGGGGCTACATCCAAAGACAGACAAGTCCAGGTTCTTCTCAGTAGAGGCTGTTTCCAAGCATTTTCCTTCCCTTTTTCTAATAGTTTCTAATGCTCAACAAATCATCCCTGATTAAACTGAGTGGCTTAAAACAACAAAAGCCATGGACCATCTTCACTGTCTGTGGGTCAGGAATTGGGAGCATCTTGGCTGGGCGGTGCTGGCTTAGCATCCCTCATTAGGCTTCAGTCAGCAGTCTGTTGTAGCTGCTGTCATAGAAGGCCTATCTGGAGTGAGTGGACCCACTTCTGATGTACTCCATTCGTATGGCTGGCTAGCTGGTAGCGGTGAGGGTAGGGGGCCTCATGGATGTCTCTCTCTCTACAGGGATGTCTGAGTGTCTTCACAGCATGATAGCTGTCTTCCCTCCTTGTGACCAAGGAAGAGACCACAGAGCTTTCATGAAGCCACACAGTGTCACATCTACCATATCATACTGGTTATATAAGGATTCGGGGAAAGAGGGGACTCCATAAGAACATAAAAGCTTGTGGGCCCAACTCCCTAGAAGTTATCTGGAAGGCTGCCACAAGTCTGAGAACTATAAACAATTGAGTCTTCTGCTGACCTGAGCATGCATGTCCTGACTTTCTTCCTTCTCTATAAAAAGGAATCTGGTAGACATACATATCCTTGTAGGGATGCCAAATGAACAGAGCTATGGTTCTTCCCTGGATGCGCTCCATAAAGTTAGGGTTACAGTCTCATCATGAGAAGTGCTAGAAGAGACATCTTCTACATGTCCAAACGATAAGAGTATAAACAGCAGATCATTTGCTTGTTGGAGACTTTGGAATGTCTTTCCCAGCAAAGCGGACATTGACACCAAGTCTTGAAGGATGACTAGGAACCCGTCAAGTGGTAGCAAAAGGGAGAAGCTTGCTCCATGTGGCATAAGCATCAACAGAGAGCTCGAGAGCTTGTGAGACTGTGATTAGGAAGCTCGAATTTATAAATCAGGGGCTACTTGAGGGTTTTGAACCAGAGAAGGGCCTGGCAGAGCCCTGTGGGATGGGACTGGGCAGAAGACTATGAAGGATGGAGCTGTGCTACCACCTGTTGGCTTGGGGATTGACCTCATTGGGACACGGTGGGGGGGGGGATGAAGAAATGATAGACTGCACGCAGACAAGTTGGGATCGGGTGGGCCTTGGCTCTGATGGAGATGCACCACCAGCGACATCCTGGATACTCAACACTTTTGTGTTATACATTTTAGTGTAGAGGCGAGTTTATTGTATATAGCTGAACAAGGAAGCAGGTTTGGAGTCTCTGTAGGGGGACAGTTTCAGGTTGTAGCTAGCCAAGAGGAGGAAGCTGTGGTTGACCAGTTCTGCACACACTGGTTTTAACTAAGGGACAATCATTCTTAACATCTGTACTTGGACCAGGGGAGGCTTTGCCATTTCCTTGAACCTCGCCTGAGAAAGGCTTTGCCATTTGCCGTGGGTCTGAAGCACTGGGGTCCTTGACATGTCCTCATGCATGTCAACAATACACATTCACTCAGGACTTCATTTACTCCCCCACCGAGTTGCAGTGTGCTGAGAAGGAGTGGTATGGAGGAGGAGAACCAGCTCTCAGGTGGAACCGATTGGTGTCTCTGACAGGGGACAGGAAGGCCTACAGGCCGTGGCTTACCTTCCCCATCATTTTCTACCTTACCTTCTTCCCTAACTCTTGGTTCTGATCCTGGCTTCCCCCATGCCTGTGTTGTGAGCATATGACTAATCCCACAGAACCGTCAATACAGCACCACCAAGGTGACCATAGGGGACATCAGGTCTTTTAGCCCAAGACTAGAGATCTTGAGTGTTTCGGGCCCACACCTGTGTGAAAACCTGGTTTAAAATGTGAACCATATTTCCAGGAAAACTGAAAATGCCTATTTGTACAAATTATTTGCTAACAACTCCAGAGGGTTCAGTTCCCTCAAAGCCTATCTGTGGGCCTCTGGATTTCCAATTAAAGTCTCAGGAAGAAATGGGGAAAAAAAATGAGAACAAATATCTGATCTCCTCTCCACATATGTTCCTTACTTCTTTTTTAAATGGCCTATAACCCCACCCATAATCGGGCCACCCCTGAAATCATGAGAAACAGGAGGAAGTATACACCCAGATGACAGCCCCTAGGGGCACTGGCCTCACTTGGAGGGTCTATTTCCATTATTATAGCAATTCTCAGGCTGCGGGCTATAATTTTCACTTGAGGCAAGGTATTAAATTGAAATTACCCCGGATGTAATGGCCATGCAAAATAATCCCGGACACATGGAAGCAAATGCTTTCTCAAGATGGGACTTGATTGCTTATACTGAGACGTCAGGGCTCTGTCTCTTTAAGTAGAGAGGGGGCAAGGGGCAGGGGGCCAGTGGCCAGCAATTAGCTAGAACCCACCTCTGAAGCAGCCAGTCCAGAAGTCAATACGATAAGGCTTCTGTTGGCTTGATCTGCTCTCTGGCCAGAGGCTTGGGTATAAAGGCTAGGAGGGCCCAGATTTTGGGCAGAGCCCAAGACTTGGAGTTTTGTTCCTGCAACTGTTAGGAAATACTGTACTTGAACTCAGGAATGTGTAGAGGACAACGCTTGTTTCCATTTAGGCTCCAAGCCCAGGTTCCCCCGCCATGTGACGGACATTGAGTTTGGGTCATTCTCAGATGATGCCCGCGGCCCTAGGCTCTTCTGTTTTGCTCTCAAAGGTCTTACTTACCATCTGCCTTTGCTTGCCAGATGTTCGCTGCTGGTATACTGCATGGACCTCCCCCCCACCAGCATCATCATCACCTTCCACAATGAGGCACGCTCCACTCTGCTCCGAACCATCCGCAGGTAAGGCATCTTCCCGTCTGGTCACACAGCCTGGTCCTCGGTCAGGCTTGTGTCTGCTCACTGGGCATCCCGCAGGCATGTACCAGGCACTGGTCTATACATCACGTGACTCCGTTCTGCCACTCCTCCCAGGCTGATGAGTGAGAGAGGCCATCATCCCATTTTTAAAGAGAAAGACAGATGCTAATAGTGGCTGGTGACTTGCAGATATTCAGAGACAAGGCAGAGGAATGGATAACAGTTGGCCCTTTGCCCATCTGTGCCAGGCTCTCTGAAGAACGTGGACTGGCATGGTCACAACGGAGGAAGGAAGCTCAGATTGTTGGGTTGCTCGCAGCATCCCTGGCCTCTGGCTAGGATCAGGACTTGAGTGTGCCTTGGGCTGCCCATCTTGTGCTGCGCTTTCCCCGGGCTGAGACAATGTGGGGGGGGGGAGTGTGAGAACAGCTGTGGGCAATCGCTGATGGATGCTCTTTGGGCACCTCCATCCAGGTCCAGTCCCGCTTCCCTTGAGCTTCCTGGACACCTTGACACAAGTTTCAGTCACGTTCCTGCTGTGAGAGGTCCGTTGTGACAAAGATGGCCTGTGGCCTGCCTAGCTTTTCCATACGCTCAAGTCTCAGTGCCAGCCACAAGCAAACTGGCCCTAGAACATGGAGCAGGGACCAGACTGGGGCTTGTGCCCCTGGGTTCTTAGGAGACTCTGGCAGGTGTGGGCTGCCATTCTCTGGAATGACACTCCTTTCCTCTCCCTGACTCCACCCCCTCCCACCCAGGACAGATGCCTCATTCCCTCCCTTCCTGAGATCGGATCCCCAACAGTAGCTCCCCTATCCTGACTAATAAGGTCCGTCAGTAAGGACAGGCTTGGGCTCCTGCCCTCCGCTGGGGCGGTAAGTAGGTCAACAGAGAAAAGTGAGACCTGGAAGTCCCCCGTCGAGGTCACGTAGCCTAGATTCCAGCCCGTGCCCTCTCACTTGCCTGTACCAGGAAGGCAAGTCACAAGGGGAGGGGTTCAGCACCGCTGGTGTGGTGTTGGGGTTTTAGGGGTACAGCTAGAGCTTCTAGCACAGAGCCCAGCCTCGCCAATGAAGTGCCCATAGAAGCCTCATGTTTATTTGTTTTAGTCAACTTAACTCAAGCGAGAGTCATTGGAGAGGAGAAACTTCAACTGAGAGAACACCGCCATCAGATTGCCCATAGGCAAGTCTATAAGGGCATTTTTTTAAATTAATAATTGATACGGGAGAGCCCAGAGCACTGTGGGCAATGCCATCCCTGGGCAGGGGGTCCTGAGTGCTGTAAGAAAGCAGTCTGAAGAAGCCATGAGAAGCAAGCCAATGAGCAGTAGCACTCCTCCATGGCCTCTGCATCAGTTCCCGCCTCTAGGTGCCTGCCTCGACTTCCCCTCAGTGAGAGAATGTGTCCCGAGAGTCATAAGTTATATGAAAGCTTTTCCTTCTCAGGTTGATTTTTCGGTCACGGTGTTTTGTCACAGTAATAGAAACTCTAACTATGACACTTCATGTCCCAGAGACACATAGTTTACCAGGCAGCACATGGGAAGGTCATCTGATATACAGAGGGGGAAAATGAGATTAAACATGGATGGGCCAGAGAGAGTCTGAAACACAACAAACCTCCCTCTCATCATCTCCAAAAGACAAGTCGCACTGTCCCCCTTCTTCCACACCTTGTGCTTTGGCAGTGGGGGATTCTGGGTAGAGGGAAGCAGGATCAGCAGTGGACTCACCCCAAGGGGACATACCACGTCTCATGTCCACCTGTCACTAAAGGTTGAATGTCTACTGTGTGGGGCCAGTGCTTCCCTTACAGGAAAGAACCCACTCTTGTGGAAGAAAGAGCAATTTCACCTGCAGCCTACATGTCTTTGGTATCTGATGACTAACTATATCCCCCAACCACCAACCCTGTCCTGGCTTCCGTACTCACCCCACAGGCCATTTTATTCATATTTCCCAACAAGACAACAGTTCTTCACACACATACACACACACACACACACACACATACACACACACACACACACACACACACACACACACACACACACACACACTACAAACTGTTACAGGTCACTACCCGTGTCACTGTAGATAATGAAGTGCCTGGCTGGTTTGCAAATCAATGTAGGCACGTAGAGGGGACAAGGGAAAGGGTGATTTCTCTGAGGACTCCGTTGGTATCTCAGGGATGCTCTTGCTTCTTAGCTGAGAGCTGGAAGAACACAAGGGATGGGCTCAAGCTGGACAGGAGCATGATGGGACAGATGATGAGAGAAGCGAAAATCACAGCCTCGATGAATTGGCTCTTTCTCAAGGGGAGAGAAAGCAAGACCTGAAGAATTCACCGTGGCCAGTGGTAGGGCAAGTCCTTACAGGGTGTGAGACTGGTGTTGTCTGTCCTATTATTGGAACAACTGTCAACCCTTTACCTCGCATGGGGAGCAGGAACATGGCAATGGTCCATGACTTTATATCCTTTTTCATCCTTGGTGATTTCCTAGACCTAGAGAGGCACTTTCCGGGAGAAGATGGTTAGGAATTTGGACTCCGGGACCACATTTGCCTAGCTCTGCCAGTAACAGCAGTGTGACCCTGGGCGAACTGCCGAACCCCTCTGCCTCAGTTTTCCATTCTGCCAAACAGAAACTATGATTACTGCTAATCCCTGAGCATGAGTTCAGTGAAGGCTGGATAAGGACAGATAGGTTTAACAGTCAGGGTCCTCCACAGCACAGAACCAATGACATCTGTGGTTATAAAAGGAAATTTGCTAGGTTAATTTACAAGATCAGCGCCCCATAGTCTAACCATAACAGTCTGCCAGCTGGAGAACCAGAAAAACCAGTCCCCCAAATGGAAGCCTCAGAATAGGGGGTGGGGAGGCATGGGACAGAAAGATGGCTCAGACAGTAAAGGCGTTTGCCACTAAGTCTGGAAGTGGAGTTCAACTCCTGGGTCCCACATGGGGGAACGACAGAACCAACTCCTGAAAGTTGTCCTCTGACCTCCAGATAAGGACCATGGTCTGAGCACATGTGCACACATACACATGAATGAATGAGTGAATGAATGAATGACTATAATAGAATTAAGAAGAGGTCAGTGTCACAGGCCCAGTCCAAGACTGAAGTCCCTGAAGCTTCCTGGAGACAGACTGGTCTGAGTACATGTTTAAAGACCGAAGACGCTGGCATTTGATGTCCATGGGCAGTCATAAGGGTGTGCACCCACTCACGGAGGGTCAAGCTGTGAACTGGTGGGCTTCTTCCTCTCAGTTTTTGTGCTCTCTGAACCCCAACCCAATGTGTGGTACTGCATACATGGGGTTGAGTCTTCCCTCTTCAACTGGATGGTGCACACGGCAATCTTTCTGGAAACGTGTTCACAGACACACTCAGAATATGCTTTACTAATTTTGGGGGGTATCTCTTAATCCCTCCATTGTGCCCATCAAGATTAATCACAGTAAGCAAAAGACTGGGATCTGCCGCTGGCACAGAGGGAAAGCATCGATGTGGCTGAGCCTCTAGTCCCGATAGATAACAATGTTCTGATACGGTGGCTCTCCAACGTGAGAAGTTGCCAGATTCTCTTGGAGGGCTTGCTAGAACATGCCTTCTTGGGCTCCAGGCTCAGAGATTCTGAGTCAGTGAGTCTGGAATGTGGCCTAAGAATTTGCATTTCTGACAAGTCCCCAGGCTGTGACAGTGTTGCTGGCTGGGGGTTCCGACTGAGAATCAGAGCTGTGCCTTGTTTCTGTTATTGGTAGAAGCTCCAATAGTCTTATCGCCCATGCCCACATTCCAAGAGCAACTGTCATGTGCCAGGCATGGTGCTAAGCAATGCTGGTGAAGCCGAGGAAACCATGGCACTTGGAGGCTCGGTACTGACTGAAGCCTTCCTGCTGAGAAGCGGAGGCCGCCCAGACGTGTGCTTGAACCGCAAAACCTGTCTCACTCCGGAACGACCACACTCAACCGTCAGCTGGCCCCAGGTCTTCTTCATTCAACTGGTATTTATGGAGCGTTTGATAAGGCCTGTCTGCATACAGCACTGAGGAGTTCACGGAGCAACTTCAAATACGCTTCCTCTTTTCATACGCACAAAAGCCTGTGAAGTAGGTCAAGTATTAATATCACCTGCTTTTACAAGGCAAAGGTAATTACAGAGGGAATGGAGGCTGGGAGCCGACCTGCTCAGGACTACGCAGCAAGCATGTTGTCGGGCTCCCTGAGCCCAAGCCCGTGAGTCTACATTCCCCAAACTACCCCGACGTGACTCGAGGCCCCACATGGACCCCATAATTAGATCACAGAAAGCAAAGGAGTGGGAGAAGTGGTTGCACATAGGAGACAGATCCAAAATGATGCCTTGGACAGTGCGGCCCACACATGCCAATGAGATGAGCGCGTTGACCCATCCTGCGGTCACATGAAGAAAGACGTGTGGGGCAGTCGAAGTCGGGGCAACTCGGATGGAGTGAGGCAAGGCAAACTGAGCCCTGGGGAGACAGGAGGATTTACCCTGCTGATGGGGGGCTGGTGAGATGCCTGGACTGTAGAACCTGTGAGGTGGACAGAGGGCAGGAGGTCACAGCAGCCAAGGTTTAGATGGCAGGAATCGGGGGTGGGGGAGGGCCACCCAGGCCAAGGTCCCTGGGCCGGACTTCACTTTTTCCTTTTCCAGCCACTTCAGACACCCAGAGTACCTGCCCATCTCAGGTGCTCCCAGCCTCCCTCGAGGCACTTGTAGGGAGACCCCACCATCGTTTCTGTTGCTCGGATGACAGGAGCATAAGCAGGCCAGGTGTTAGCAGGAAATGGTCTAATTAGCACTCACTGCTGCCGATTTCTTTCTCTCTCTTCCCCCCTCCCCTGACCCCTACCCCCCGCGTTTTAAACCCTGGACATTTTTTATTCGCTAATCATCTCTCAGTTCAACCAGCTCAGAGCTACACGCGATTTACCTTTTGATGTTCACAGAAGAGAACTCTTGAATTTCAAAGAGCCGGCAGGGATTTGGGGGAACCGAATGCAGAAGCTCCAGCGTAATCAAACCTCATTAGAGGTTATTCTTCAAGCAGGATTTTTTTTTCCCCCTCTGTCTGCCTCCCTCTCCCCTCCTGCCCTGATTAGAGGGCTGGTGGCTGGGTTTGCTGTGTTTTCTCCGGGACAATCACAGCGAGCAATCTCTACCCACCACCTTATGGTGGAAGCTGCAGCTGCCTTCCTTTCCCTGTCCCCCACTTCCCCACAGACTGTCACCACTGTTCGGGCTTTGTGTTGGGGTTCCTCTCTCCTCCGTACACTAGTTGCCATGGTGAGAATTAAGGCTTCATAAATAAAGGTAGCTCCGGGCAAAGTTCCTTTCTCATGGAGTCTGCACCCTGCATAGAAAGGAGGCTACACTGGAAAAGGGGCTCAGGAGGAGGATCTGAGTAGAGGGATGCTCCTGTAACCCTCACCAGCACCCACCCTGAAACCCCTTCCCCGATATACGCAGGACTCTGGGTGTACTGTGGTGGGTGTTGTGAAGCAAAAATGCTCTGGAGAAATCCTGACATCTGGGGATGCTCAGAAGAGTTCTGAGACCCACAGTTAATACTGCAACCCAGCCTGTGCCCCTTGGATAAGACGTCTCTAGCACGAGAGGTCAATTCAATTAACAAATCATGAATGACCCATGGCGTAGTAAGAATGGCTATTATCTGTCATCACTTAGGGGCAAATATTACACTGAATGCCTCATATAGATTTTCTCTTTTAATTTTCCCCATAGCCCTTTGAAGAATCCCCTGCTGTAAATGACTCCCCTTCTACAGACCAGCCACTGTGCTTGCCCCAAGTCTAACAGCTTGAAAACGGCTGAATGACAAGCTCCTGCGGGTGGAACTGACTTCCCATGTGAGCCTCACTCAGTGCCCAGCACACAGAATGTGTGCCCTCAACATCTTTCCAATATAGAGAGATGTCAGCAGAGCTCCAGGCCTGGCATGTTGCCGTCTACAGAGATGTTACTAGGCTCTCGGGTTCATAAACTCACCCCTGTAGTTTCCCTGCATCCCAAAAGAAATTAAGGAAAAGAAATGAGTGAAGGAAATTGGATTTTTTTTTAAGCAGTGAAGCCAAACCAAGGTGGAAAGAGAAGTGTAATTCCCTCTTTACCATGCCTGTGGTCATCTTTTAATTTATAGAAACATATGAGACAACGGCTATATAATATATTGTCAATTTAGCATTGAGATGGCTTGGCCAGTCCTGTTCTGGGGCAAAGGGACTTGGGTCCCAGGTTACCTTCACCATCTCAGGTTCTTTATTACAGAGATAGTTTTTAAATCGGATCCAAGGAAAACAGGGTAGGCATTCTGTCTTAAAGACCCCCAAGTGGGAAGAGGCCCACAACAGTGGGTCCAGAGTGGAGCCTGGAACTGACCCAGGCTCTTTGCTATTCTCAACCTTGGTCAATAAACCTTCTTTTGTCAACGGGCAGTCGTTAATACAGAAACTCACAATGAGTCAAACTGATGAGAACATGTGACCATGAGTGCTCAACCCTAAATGGAAGACCTATATCAAGCCCCTCTCCCAAGGTTCAGAGAGTATCACATCACCGAAGAGGGGATGGAGAGAGTGTGAGAGTCACAGGATGAAGAGTGCTGCCAAATGCTGGGCACGGCATAGGCATTGCGTTCACGAGCTCATTAGAGGCTGTGGTCACTGGCACAAGATCAAGCCAGTTAAAATTCAAGCATGATCTGGGGAGCCCCTAACTGAGGAGCTGTTGGCAAGCTGATAGCTGTTGGGGGAGGGAGAGTCATTTTTCTTCAGGGTTGTGGCCATAAGTATGGTGTCCATCTTGGTGGTGGATGGCTCTACCCCTATGTGACTATGAACAGCACTAATTGGATTCAGTGGGGGATTAAAAATAAAGAAGAGACAGGGGAGGACATGAAGTTGGGAGGAGGACCTTTGAGGAGGCAGCAAGAGTTGGAAGGGGAGAAGGGAGGTGTGTGTATGTTTTATTGAGTCTCCAAGAATAAATAAAAAGTGTTATTTGAAGGAACACTGCTAAACAGCTAGCAACTCTTGGAACTTTATTTCTAATGCAATGACTGGGGAAGGTGAAAAACCATTTCTCTATGGGAAATCATTTTACCATTTCTTATAAGAGAATACAGATTTAGAATGAACAGAACGTTCTCAACTTGGCAGCAAGGAAACTAAATCTGTTTCAACATTTTGGGGGGAAATATTAAATAATGATATTTCCGCTATTGATGTATATGTGAAAATGCCATACACACACACACACACACACACACACACACACACACACACACACACTATTCCCTAGGGCTGGGGAAATATCTCAGTTGGAAAAGTGCTTGCTACACAAGCATAAGGATTGGGGTTCAGATCCCCAGCATATGTGAAAAAAGCCAGGTATGGCTCTGTGTACACCTATCATCCCAGTGTTGGAAGGAAGAGATAAGAGGACCCTTGGAGATTGCTGGCCAGTAGTCTAGGCAAATTGGTGAGCTCCATGTCCAGTGGACCTTCTCTTCAAAAATAAAGTGAGAATAATTAAAGTAAATATCTTAGTTAGGGTTTTCTATTGCTGTGAAGAGACACCATGGCCGTGGCAACTCTTATAAAAGAAAACATTTAATTGGGGCTGACTTACAGTTCAGAGGTTTAGTACCTTATTGTCATGGTGGGAAGCATGATGGCACACAGGCAGACATGGTGCTGGAGAAGTAGCTGAGAGTTCTACATCTTGATCCGCAGGCAGCAGGGAGAGTCTATGTGTTATACTGAACATAGCTTAAGCATTTGAAACCTCAAAGCCCACCCTCTAGTGACATACTTCCTCCAGCAAGACTGTACCTCCTAATAGTGCCACTCTCTATGAGCCTATGGGAGTCATTTTCATTCAAACTACCACAATACCCAACACTGAACTCAGACCTTCACTTTCATATACATACAAGCGCACACACACACACACACACACACACACACACACACACACACACACACACAGGCATACACACATACAGGCATACACAGTGATCTTCCATATCTGAAAGAGAAAAGAATCTCAGGGATTTTACGGACTGGCACATGTGAAGCTATGCACTTATTCTGGCCTGACAGAGTTCTTTGTCCCTATTTCCAGTCATTTAATAGATGTACAGCTGAAGCCATTTGTATTCTTAATTTGGAGTTCCGCTTGAAGCTTGGATTCCACATGTCTGTTAAGCACACTGATTCCGTGATTCTGCTAGCTGGGAGAGTCATGGTCTCTCTTCAGAGTGTTTCCTCTCTCACCAAGACTTCTGCATGGCATCAGGGTTACAGGGGCAGGAGCTTGCCTGGTGAGGTGTAAAACCAGCTGCCAGTGTCAGAACATGATAAATGCTGCAAGAAGCTTCAGCTAAAAACTGCTAAAGAATCCCAGGGGAGGAAACAATTAATTCTCCCTAAGTAGATTGGAAAGCTGTTAGAGAGGAAGTGACATTTGAACTGGTCTTTGTGGGCAGCTTAGGGCCATTTCAACTCCTAGAAGAGGCTCTCGATGGTGAATGAGCACAAGAAATTCAGGTGGCAGCGCTGGGCATGAATAGCTGTGGGCGGTATAGGCCGGCTCAGGGATGGGAGGGCGTGGGTCACGCTGAGGGTTTGGGGTGTGGGGAGTGGGGTGGCACAATTGGATTTTATCAATTTGTGGCCACACGGACGTCCACACTCTTCGATGTATGTGTCTGAAAGGTCACTTGAAAGCCACAAGGAAAACAGCCCGGGACTGGGAGGAGCTGGGACAGGTAGAGGCTGCAGCGGTAAACTAAATACAATTAGACAAAGTGAGGGGTGGTAGAGCATGCCTGTAACCGTGTCCTTGAGAGGGGAAGGCAGGAAGATCAACTGTTCAAAGCCAGTCTGGGCTGCACAGTAAGACCTCATCTACCCCCCTATAAAAAGGGGGGGTGGGTGTGTAAGCAGGACAGAGATAGACAGGATGTGAGTGGTTTAAGTGAAATGCCCAGATAGAACTACTATATTGGGGTTTGTGGAGAGGGAGGGCCATTGTTGGTACCGCCTGGGTTTCTGTCTGGGTGGGTTACTGGGCAGCCTATTGTTTGCTGTGATGGAGAAGGCAGAATGATTTCCTCAGTGGCCCCTGAGGAGTACGATGATCATCTTTTCGCTTTCTTCCAGTGTGTTAAACCGCACCCCGACTCATCTGATCCAGGAAATCATATTAGTGGATGACTTCAGCAATGACCGTAAGTCACGTTGATTAGTGGCAACTGAGGCACAAACGTCCGGTCCCAGCCACTGTGTACAAGTGGAGGGGGACCCACTGACACCCCAGAGGTGAAAGAAAGCCAGGTTGGGGATTGACCTGGAAGACTGTCTATGCCTGAGCTTAAAAAGGGGATAAACCTTACATTTGAGGGGGGGAATGTTGGGGTTCTCTGCTGTCAGTTTTTGAGGACCTAACTAGCTAAATTTGTTAGACTCCTGTCTAGGGTGGTTGCTGAGTGAGTGCACATGTGTGGATGAACGCATGTGGTACCAGCGCCATTAGCTTCTCCCCTACATTCCTGGACATGGGAAGAGAGACCACACACACAGAGAATCATCACTAGAACCCAAAGCTCTGTCACAGACTCCTTGTCTTGATGCTGCATTAGTGTGCTCATCCGAACTGAGGCTGCCATGTTCCTTCTCTCTTGTTCCCTAGGGATCTGGAGGGCCTTGACACTGAGATCCCCATAAAACATCCCCAACACACATCCGTGACAGTGTGAGCCTTTGAACCTTTCCACACAGTGGTGACCACCATTTCCTGCCTCGTATTTCCTTAGTCATTCCGTAAAAGAACCCAGGTGCCACCCAGATTTACTCCCCTGGTCCTCTTTCCCAAGTATAACATGCTGGGGTCTCCAGATATCTGTTTAAGTCTGAAAGTTACAATAATTATAGAATCCTTGCTAGAACTCAAATATTAGCAGTGCCAAACCCCTCTTCAAACAGCCACTGTCCTGGATGCAGTCCTTCTCGGTCAGCCATATTCAGATGGGACAGTCTTTTCCTGGTGGTGAGCCAGGTGGATGGCACCAGAGGACAGACAGTTACAAGTATCAGGAAAGCAACCTCCATCCCATCCAGCAGAGGTGTTGGGAACTGGGCGCAGGGGCCACTCACACATTGATACCTCCTGCATAAGCTCTAGAAACCCACACACAAGGACAGAGACACTGGATTCCTTGTGGAAAAAGTGGGTTATGTGTGAGGCCTTGGGTAGCAAGACCTGTACTAGTTCTGGAACTCAGTGGTCTACTCTCCCTTCCTCGTGATGAAGAGCTTGGAGTGGGGTTCCACTCCTTCTGGGGGTCCCCTGGTGCTCAAGAGCAGAAGGAAGTACTGTAAGGTCCCCTAGGAACGGGATATAGCCTTGGCTCAAACCCTACATCTGGGACTTCCTCACTCCTTAACCATGTGCCTCAAGAAAGCCATTAACTTCAAGTCAGCTCCCTCACCTACATGGGATGACTATAGTCATATATATATGGTTTATATAGAGGCCAAGTACATTAACACATTCAGAGCTCTTGGATTAAGACCTCGCCAGAGGAAGCCTGTAAAAGTTTCTTCTGTTGCTTGATAGAGTCCAGAGCTAAGCAGAAAGACCAAGGTCTATAAACAGAACCAATGGCTGGGGCTACCAGTCAGGTTAAGGATGAGACAGGGCAACAGAATAATCCCAGGATGACTGGGGCGAGTGACCAAAGGACAGTGGGTCTCTCACCCACCCTGGCACATTGTTCATCAGGCTGGAGACCACCCTCCCATTATAAGCTCTGCTGTGATGGGGAAAAAAAAAATCTGTCGGCTGAGCTCTTCATAAAGAGGGCCTCCGTGCTCTAAAAGCAAAGTCCAAAGTCGTTTTCTTCTGTTGCCGGCTTCCTGGCAGTTTTAACTAGACTCACGGCAGTGAAGAGAGTCTGAATTAATCCAATGGGGTATAGCAATGAAGACGACCCTGGGGTGACCAGACCAAGGTTTCAGACTTGGAACATTTTCGTGACAGCTCTGCAGGTACCACTGTGGGCTGACCTCTTCCAAATGGGGCCAGTTGTGATCACTTCACTCAGTGATTCTTAGCCCTTTTCCATGACCTAGAGGACCAGGCTCTGCAGTCAGGGTGGTGATACCAAGTAGGTCTACCTTCCTGATCCGTCTAATTTGCTCATGCGCAGTCACGCCCCAGGTGCTCACTAAGCATGACCTTTGTCTTTGCAGCTGAGGACTGCAAGCAGCTCATCAAACTGCCCAAGGTGAAGTGCTTGCGTAACAGTGAGCGGCAAGGTACGGGCTGTGCCGTGGGGCAGGGCTGGCTCGCACGGGAATGAAGAGTGGGGTATGGTGGGTGTATGTATTTGGGTGTTCGAGGGTGTACTGAATGACTCTTGGGTGGTCTTGCTGGTCACTGGAGCAACGGTGGTACCCACCTGGCCTTTTGTCCCCAATACAGGTCTGGTCCGGTCCCGGATGCGGGGTGCTGACATTGCCCAAGGCGCCACTCTAACATTCCTGGACAGCCACTGTGAGGTGAACAGGGATTGGCTGCAGCCCCTGTTACACAGGGTCAAGGAGGTGAGTCAGGCTGAGAAAGAGGGCTGGGGGTTCCTACCTCCCATTTCTTCCAGGGCCTCCAAGCTTGTGACTTCGCTTAGGGATCTGGATGGGTCAGAATGTTGTCCCCACTTTATAGATGAAGGACTAAAGCATCGTGGCCTGAACAAGATCACACTTTGAGCAGTCGGTGGTGGGGCGAGGCCTGGGCTGTTTGTTTAATCACAGTGTTGCCCACAGCAGCAAGCCTGAAATGGAAACTGTGGGCAGGTAGCATGTGGCATTCAGTGTCCCGGGCAAGAGAAAACTACCCAGATCTGTATCTATCAGACAGAAGAAAGTTCTGGAAAAAAAGCATCCTCCCGAGTACCTTCAGTAGGGAGGAGGCAGCAGAAATAACCAGTTCCTGGGGCTTATGTCTTCCTTTTGCCCACATAACACCCTTACCTGGAATCCCTAGGCTAAGCCAGAAGGCCGGATGCTGAGAGTGGAAGCCCCTTCCTTTTACCCTTGAATTACTCTGAGTTTCTGTGTGCTACTCTTCTCTGTGACCCAGCCACCACTTTAGAAAACAGAGCAGGATCTTATTCTTCTCCTTGTTACTTGGCACTCTTGGAGAAGCTCACCCATTTCTGGTTCATCAGCAGAGCACACAGCACACTGGAGACCCCAGTATCAATGATACGCACTGGCGCTCCTGACGCTCATTCTAAACTACCGATTTGCACAGCTAGCGTGGCGTTTGTGGGAGTCGGGCATTTGTAGCATACTCCTTTTACAGATGAGATAAATAGTGTTCGGACCATTATGTGATGTTGTTTGATATTCTTTAGGGATGATATCCCCAGAATCAGAACAGCCTGTGGCCTGGGCTGGGCTGGTTTCCTCCTGCCCTGGCTGCTAGCCACTCAGCACCTGCCTGCGTGATAGTGTTGAAAGGAGAGAAGAGTTCAATGGGCACACTGCTCAAGAGAGAACCAAGAAGTCTCTGCCACTTGTCCACTGCAGGAAGTACCCTCAGCGGGATGCTGAGTTCTCACACATGGGGCTAGTTGTCAACACCTATTAGGGACTACTTTCTCTGAGTTTGGGAGAGTTTCTCTGAGTTTCGACCCTTAGCATTGCTCAGAAGGATCTCCCCCACCCCAACACATACACACACACATAAATCATTCAGAAGAATCTGAAAAGGGAGATGCTTTTGTGAGCTGGCTATTCAGTTGAGGTGTTTCCCTTGGCCCTAAAGGCCCTTCCAGAAATCTTCTCTCCTCTGTATTCTCATGCTAGCGCCCCTAGGCTCCCCAGGATTCTGTGCTGACACAGATGGGCTGTTCCTGATTCTGTCATTGTCCTGTCTGTGTGTGGGAGGGAGGGTATTGTATATGATATGTACATGTTCAGAGGCACAAGGGAGGGGAGGGTCAACATCTAGTGTCTTTCTTCTTTTGCTTTCTACCTTTATTTCTGAAACAAGATCTCTTGTACCAGGTTTTTCCTTTTAGGCTGCCAATCAGCTCCCAAATCATGACACAGAGACTTATTATTAGCCGGGCTGGAGAGATGGCTCAGAGGTTAAGAGTACCAACTGCTCTTCTAGAGAGTCCTGAGTTCAATTTCCAGTACCCACATGGTGGCTCACAACCATCTGTAATGAGATCTGGCTCCCTCTTCTGTGTACATAATAAATAAATAAATCTTAAAAAAAGAGAGAGAGAGACTTATTATTAGTTATGAATGCTCGGCCTAGCTTGGGCTCGTTTCTGGCTAGCTCTTTTAACATAAATTAACCCGGTCCTCTTGATCTACCTTTTGCCTCAGGGCTTTTTACTTTTCTTTCCTTCTGTATATCTTACTTTCGATGCTCCTTGTGTCTAGCTGCCTGGCAGCTGCCTGGCTTCTGGCCCTGGATGTCTCCCTTATTCTCTCCTCTTCCTCCTTCTCTCGTTCCTTCTCATCTTCCCAGTCTAGATTCCTCATCCTATTTATTCTCTCTGCCTGCCAGCCTCACCTATCCTTTCTCTGCCTAGCTGGCCATTCAGCTCTTCATTAGACCAATCTGATGCCTTAGGCAGGCAAGATGAAACAGATGCAGCACATCTTTACATAATTGAACAAATGCAGCATAAACAACAGCAGCACACCTTGTCACAGAGTCATATTCTGCAGCATAAACAGATGTAGCACATCTTTACATTGTTCAAATAATATTCCACAACCATCTCTTACTGGACCTAAAGCTCATCATGCTGTTGGGGCTGACTTGTAATGTAATGAGCTCCAGGAATCTTCCTGTCTCTGTTACTCCCACCACATACACATACACCACAATCACCGCTATTGGAGTTACAGGCAAGTGCTGCCTTGCCTGGCTTTGTACATGGATTCTGGGGATCCCAACTCAAGTCATCTTGCTTGCATGGTGGGTGCTTTGCTGACCCACCCATCTCCCCAGTGCCAGTCGGTGCGTCACCTCTGACCAGGTCCTTCCTGTCCCTGGCACCTTGTTTTCCTTTCCACAAACTGTCTTGCTCCTCAAGACTTTGCCAGAGTCTCCCCATCCGCATGCTCAGCCAGGATCTCTCCGAGCAGCCACTGCCTACCTTATCCTCCATTTTCCTCTTCTGAGTTCTTAGTCTCCCTTAATAGATGACAAATGCATTTGGGAACTAGTCCTCTCCCCATCATCACCTTAACTGCTGTAGATTGACTCTCAGGGCTTGAAAAACCATCCTTAGATGCCCCGGCACGTCGGGGTGGTGGCATAGTTGGAATTTGTAGAAACAGTAGACTCATCGTCTACCCCTATGCTAATTAGCTGGTATTGATTGACATCTATTTGGGGACGAGTCTCACATAGGCATTGTGAAAGGGATTAGTTGGTACTTAGTCAATCTCACATGGCTCCTATAGACTCATGCTGCGCTGGTTTGGAAAGAACCAACACAGAACAGGTAACCATGGGTAGAAGTACTATGACAGTGGGTCTCAACCTGTGGGTCTCAACCCCTGTGGGGGTCAAACAACCCTTTCATGGGGGTCATCTATGACCATCAGAAAACACGACTATTTACATGATGATTCATAACAGTAGCACAATTTCAGTTATGAAGTAGCAACGAAAATAATTTTATGGTTGGGGGTCACCACAACCTGAGGAATTGTATTCAAGGGTCACAGCCTTAGGAAGGTTGAGAATCACTGTGCTATCAGAAAGTTCTTCATGAGAAACATAGGGAAGCTTAGTATATCTCTCAGGTGCTGAGCAGCGCCCCCCTCCCCCAAGTGGGAATCTTTATATCCCCAGAAAGGTCTTATGTGCCTGTGAGTTGCTCTCGGGAGCCAAGGGCTAATGAAGTCATCCTCTTGCTAATCTGTCTGGAGCCAAGAAGAAACTAGAGTGTGTAAACAGGGCTTGAAGGCCAAGGTTGCAGAACCACAGGAAGGTAAAAGAGAGTAGGACATGGGCACCTAGCCAGGGAGAGAAGTTGAGGCTCAGGGCAATGTTCCCCGCTTCAGCCAAGGTCACAGGAAAGAGAATTAGACTTAAAGCCAGGAGTGTGGTATTCTGGAAGCCCTGTGGCCCAGGAGCAGAAGATGGCAGAGAAGAGGCCTGGACCTCTTGTTTTCCATCACAAACATGTCCCACACTTACTGCGGACATCTTGGAAAACATGGAGCATTAGAACGAAAACTAATCAACCGAAATTCTATCGCAGGAAGACATCCGCAGTCTCATTTCTCCCCACTTAGGATCATTTTCTCGTCAAAGAAGCATCTTTTAAGTATAGTTGTAATCATCCTGTATTTACCCAACTTTGTATTCTACTGTTTCCCGCCCCCCCCCCCTTTACCCATAAGCACTTTCATGTGGTCTCTAAGGTAATTTAACCCTAGCCAGAATAGCAGCTGTACTGTGTGTGTGTGTGTGTGTGTGCACGCACACCCATGTAAAGGACATGTAACAAAAAAAACTGACCGTTTTAACAGACTGGGCAACTCTCACTGCGACCTAATTATACAACATTCTCACCACCTCGGAGGAAAACTTCACGCTGATTAGCCACTGCTCCTCACTTCCTCCTCTTCCCTGCCTCTGCATCCACTAATTTCCTCGGTCCCCCGGGACTTTCCCTGCTCTGTACATTTCGTAAAATTAGAATCTATGAGATGGCCTTTTTGAGCCTGAATTATCTTACCCAACATATATGTGAGCTCTATACATACTTGGGGCATGGCAGTATTCTTTTTGTGGTGAAATAATCATCCCATGGTTAAGTCCGGGCCATGTCTTGTTTCTCTGTTCATCCACATGTGGGTACCAATAATAATGCTGGTATAACTATTCGTGTACAGGTTTTTATTCATGTATATTCAGTTCTTACTAAAGACTAGGACTGCTGGAATTAGATGTTTCTTGTGCAGGGATCCCCCAAGATGATTAACTTTAAAGAACTTCCTTTTTTTAGTTATTACTGTTGTTATTCTTTGACAATTTCATACATTTATATACTGAGTTTGATGCTTCCTCCATTACTGTCTTGCATCCCTACCTCTCTCCCACTAAAATCTTTCTTCCGTCGAACAATTCTCCTCCTACCTTGTTCTCTCTGTCTCTGTCTCTCTTTCTTTATGTCTCTGTCTGTCTCTGTCTCTGTCTCTCTCCAGAGTCTCATTGTGTGGCCCTGGCTACTATGGACCTCCCTATGTAGACCAGGCTGGCCTTGATATCTGCCTCCCGAGCACTGGAATTAAAGACTCGCGCCACCATGCCTGGCATTTCCTTGTCTTTTTGGCTCACTATATTTAATTAAGGTTGCTTGCATGAGCACTCATGGGGGATTGTTTACTGGACTATAGGCAGCTTATCAGTGGCTATGCCGATAGGGAAGACGAATTTCAGCCCCTCCCCTGGTACTGATTAGCTGCCCATAGATTAACCGTGAGGGGCGGAACCTCAAGAGCCCCTCCTCCATGCATGATGAAAATAGGGATGTGCCCAATCTTATACAAGTCTTTAGGGG